CTTATCGAAGAATGGGATGTGTGTATGCCTCATTATCTTTTATTGGAAAAAAGTCTACTATGTCGCTATATCTGTGTGTTGCGTGTGTGTTTGTGAGAACATTTCAATTTGTTGTCCGATAATATTGGCTGGTTTTTATCACTGGACGAATGTTTCATTACTTGTCGATAATGAATGTTCTTTGCTATTATTAAATATCAATGATCAATGTCCAAAATATTTGGGGACAGTGGGTTACAAGGGATGACCAAACCGCACAGGGGACTTTAAAGAGCAGAAGACTCTCTGTAGGCCTTTTATAGGCCCACAAAAACATATTTTCAAAAATTCACAAGGCTTGGTTTTTTTCAAAAAGTATTTTTGTAAAGTTTTACAAAGCGGGGTTTTTTATACCCTTCACCACACTGTGGTACGGGGTATTATGTCTTTGTGAATATGTTTGTAACAGGCAAAAGGAAACGAAATAGACACATGGTTCCTTTTGGGAATATACATAGAATCACTTTCTGTCGATTTATGTATGTCCGTCCATGTTAAATTGTAAACAAAGTACAGGTCGCATTTATGATTCGAATTGGATGAAATTAGGCATAGGTCACTTATTTGGCCCAAGGACGAACCCTATTGAAATTGGGGAAAATCGGTTCAAATTTAGATATAGCTCCCACATATATATTCTCCGATTTTATGTAAATGGTGTACCAAAGTCCCTATATATCTTTCGATTTGCACGAAATTTGCCAAAGCGTACTCAGTTAAGTCTAGAATGATGTGTGCTGAGTTTCGTTAAAATCGATACAGATATATATATATAGCTCCCATATATAGTTTCGTCCGATTTTATGTAAATGTTGCACCGAAGTGCCTATTTATATTTCGATTTGCATGAAATTTGGCACAGCGTACTAAATTAAGTCTAGAATGATGTGTGCTTAGTTTCGTGAAAATCGGTTCAGATTTAGATATAGCTCCCATATATAGTTTCGTCCGATTTTATGTAAAAAAAAAACACCAAAGTCCTGAAATTTGGCATAGCTTACTCAATTAAGTCTAGAATGATGTGTGCTGAGTTTCGTGAAAATCGATTCAGATTTATATATAGCTCCCATATATAGTTTCGTCCGATTTTATGTAAATGGTGCACTAAAGTTTCTATATATCTTTCGATTTGCACGAAATTTGGCAAAGCGTACTCAATTATGTCTAGAATGATGTGTACTGAGTTTCGTGAAAATCGGTTCAGATTTTTATATAGCTCCCATATATAATTTCGTCCGATTTTAGGTAAATGGTGCACCAAAGTCCTGACATTTGGCATAGCATACTGAATTGAGCCTACAATGATGTGTGTTTAGTTTCGTGAAAATCGGTTCAGATTTAGATATAGCTCCCATATATAGTTTCGTCCGATTTTATGTAAATGGTGTACCGAAGTCCCTAAATATCTTTCGATATGCACGAAATTTGGCATAGCGTACTGAATTTAGTCTAGAATGATGTGTGCTGAGTTTCGTGAAAATCGGTTCAGATTTATATATAGCTCCCATATATAGTTTCGTCCGATTTTATGTAAATGTTGCACCAAAGTCCTGAAATTTGGCATAGCGTACTGAATATAGTCTAGAATGATGTCTGCTAAGCTTCGTAAAAATCGGTTCAGATTTAGATATATTATATCATGTCAATGTTCTTTCGAAAAGGCGGAGTCTGTTAGGAGACATATGTAGAATATACCCAAAGTGGTGAAGGGTATCATATAGTCGGCCCAGTCCGACTTTACTACTTTCCTTACTGGTTTAAAATATATTTTTGTAAAGTGTATTTTCTTTATTTTTTTTAATTATGTAATTTTTTTTTCCTTTGACCTGCTGAAACATACTTTTGTGCATCACTGTGACTTCCCCTATATAAATATATGAACCCCTATTCTTATTTCAAGCTAAACTAAATAAATACATAATGATGCTGTGCTGCTGATAGGAGGCTCGTTTCCCTCCTCTTTTTTTCTCTTTTTTTTTTAATATATATTGATGGTGGGCTTTGATAACACACATATCTCGTTGTATATAGAAGTGCGTGTTTGTGTATGATGGTACACGCATATTTTCAATTGTAGCCAGCCGGTTTTTTTTTATTTGAATTATTTGAATTATTACTAAATACTGGGAGAGAGAGTGAGTGAGAGAGTGAACTGCTGTTGAAGTCTTGTTTTCTTGTTCCTTCCATTTCCGATGTGTGCGGTGGAGTTCAAGAGTTTGAGAGCGCCACCACAGAAACTTCGTAACTCTTTGACCAGATAGACGTGTTCGAGGAAAGTTTCGTTTAATTTTTTTTTTTTAATTTCGGAAGTGGATGACCACGAACGCCGCCTTGTGGGTCAGTTTCAGTTTTTTGTGCAGTTTTATTGAAATTCGGAAGAAAAAAGAATTCAGTGCTTAATTATTTCGAAATATTGCATTTTTAATTAAGAAACACCACAAAACTGGTTTAATTTGGCTTGCATTTTATTTTAATTTTTGGGTGTTGGTGTTTTGAAAAAAAAAAGAAACGAGAAATAAAATTCAAAGTGAATTCAGTGTGAGTCTCTTATCATTGGTTTAACATATGCGAATATTTCCTTTATGTCTTGTGTGTTTTTTTAATATTTATTTGCCAAAATTAACAAGTCTTCGACAAAGTGATTGGTGTTACATTTTTTTGTGGGTATTCTATCGCCACGCTTCGGTCTTTTTGCGTTCTTTTTCGGAATTATAAATTTTTATCTACAGACAATCAAGAAAATCAGTACATATTTTGGTTTCAAAAACAATTGAACTTTGTCCAGCGGTGGACTACTTAATTTCGTATGGGTTATTGATCGATGTATTTTGAAATCCACAAAAAAAATATAATTGCCGTGTATGAATTATTATTGATGAAGACCGAATTGTGAGCCAGTAAGGAAGATTATTTGGATTTGAATTTAATTTTGTTTTCGAAATATTGAAGTGCGACCGAAATCTGAAAGTGGTTTTGAGGCATTTGGAAAATCAGCTGGATGTCGACGAACCCAAAACACTTCTTTGGTGCATTATTAACAAAAAATAGGACGAAACTATATATGGGAGCTATATCTAAATCTGAACCGATCTTAGCAAAACTTCGCAGATATCAGTCTGCATCCAATTCAGTACTCTGTGCAAAATTCTGTCTCAATCGAATCAATATTGAGAGTTTGGTGCACCATTCACCAAAAATCGGACGAAACTATATGTGGGAGCAATATCTAAATCTGAACCGATTTTAACAAAACTTCGCCGACATCAGTGTGGACCTAATTTAGTACTCTGTGCAAAATTTTGTCCCAATCGAATCAATATTGAGAATTTGGTGCACCATTCACAAAAAATCGGACGAAAATGTATATGGGAGCTATATCTAAATCTGAGCCTATTTTAACAAAACTTCGCAGACATCCAGACATCAATCTGGATCTAATTTAGTACTCTGTGCAAAATTTTGTTACAATCGGACAAATATTGAGAATTTGGTGCATCATTCACATAAAATCGGACGAAACTATATATATCTGAACCGATCTTAGCAAAACTTCACAGATATCGGTCTGCACCCAATTCAGTACTCTGTGCAAAATTTTGTCTCAATCGAATCAATATTGAGGGTTTGGTGCACCATTCACCAAAAATCGGACGAAACAACATATAGGAGCTATATCTAAAACTGAACCGATTTTAACAAAACTTCGCAGATATCAGTCTGGACCTAATTCAGTACTCTGTCCAAAATTTTTTCCCAATCGGACAAATATTGGGAATTTGGTGAATCATTCACATAAAATCGGACGAAACTATATATATGGGAGCTATATGTAAATCTGAACCGATTCAAAAAAAACTTCGCATACATAAGTTTGGACCTGATTCAGTACACTGGGCAAAATGTTTCCCAATCGGACAAATATAGGGAATTTGGTGCATCATTCACATAAAATCGGACGAAACTATATAGGGGAGCTATATCTAAATCTGAACCGATTTTCTCCAATTTCAATTGGGTTCGTCCCTGGGCCAAATAAGTCAACTGTGCCAAATTTCATCCAAATCGGACCATAAATGCGACCTGTTCTTTGTTCACAAAAATACATGGACGGACGGACAGACAGACATGCGTAAATCGACTCAGAAAGTGATTCTATGGATATTCTCAAAAGGAACCACGGGTCTATTTCGATTCCTTTTGCCTGTTACAAGCATATGCACAAAGACATAATACCCTGTACCACAGTGTGGTGAAGGGTATAAATGTCCTCCTGTAAATCTCTACAAAAATATTATTTGAAAACTCCACGCCTTCTTAATCCCTATGAAATATTTTTTAAAAAATCCACGCCATGAGAATTCTTAAAAAAATATTTTTAATCCACGCCTTGAAAATCTCTACAATTTTTTTAAATAACCCAAACATACAAAAATACCTCAAAAAATATTTTTTAAATTAAATATCTCCCCAATAAAATCGAATATCGAACAACCTTTGATCCGCCTAAAGTCAAAACTTTACAAATTCATTTGCTTTGTTGCTCAACACACAAAAATATGTACCCCGAAGTGTACCCTCTTCAAATTCACCTGTTCGGTACTGTTTAATGAATTAATGATTCGGACGGTCTAGACGGTAAATAAAAAAACAGAAACGACAAAAAAATAAACAATGGAACTGGTTTTTGTTGTTATTTTGTCGTCCATGAAATAAAAGGGGCTCGTTCCAAGCAGAACAACAACAACAGACAAACACACTTAATAAACAACGAATATCGACTAGAAGACAATTAAAGGAAAATAAATTATCGTTTAAGTTTAACAAAATAATAACCCCCCTTGGCGATAAGACGATTAGCTTTTAAGTTTGCTTCAAGCTACAAATTTTAAACAAAAAATGCTAACCTCCCTTTTCCGTCTTTTCCCATTTCAGAATCCCCAACAACCAACGAAGATAATATCGACAATCTAGTTTACAACGATACCGATTTAGAAGAGTACGACGACGAAATGACTGAAGGTAAAAATATACCCACCACCCCAGGGTCCAGTGCCGAGGTACCCTTTCGCCGTATGGGTGAATTTCGCAAAACCTCACTGAGCATCAATCGTTTGGTTGGTGTTATCGATGAGGGCACCAATGTTGTCAGTTTCTCCATTTATACCACTCCCGATTTCAAAGAAATTGCTGCTCATCGCATCGAGAAGCAAATGATTAGCGTTAAAGATGGTTGGTTCGAACAGGATCCTGTGGCCATTATCAATAATATTTATCGTTGTGCCGAGGTGGCGGTTAGTATGCTACCCTCTTTGGGCTATCGCAAAGAGGATATTTACACAATTGGTATAACAAATCAGCGAGAGACTACTGTGGTGTGGGATAGTGTAACGGGGAAACCACTCTACAATGCCATCGTTTGGAATGATATTCGCACCACCAGCACCGTGGATCAAATATTGGCTAAAATTCCCGAACAAAATAAAAATCATTTTAAAAATATTGTCGGTTTACCGGTGTCGCCATATTTTTCCGCTTTGAAAATTCGCTGGCTAAAGGATAATGTACCGGCGGTGAGGAAGGCGTGTCGTGAGAAGCGTTGCAAAGCCGGAACAATTGATAGTTGGATTGTGTGGAATTTGACAAAAGGTAAGATTGGAATAAACAAATGTATTAATAGACAATTTATTATTTTTAGGAAACCACTGGAGGGCCTTTTGAGAATTGAAGGATCTCTTAAGAAGACATTCAAAAAGTACAATATTCAAGCAAACAATTCTAGAGACCCTCTGCGGGTCTACAATCGATTTGTCTATACTTCGAAAAAAATTATGGAGGTCTTCTACAGTTAGAAGCCTTTGTGTATGACATCGTATATATCTGGTAGTCCAAGTAGTCTGTATTTATGTTTCGAAGGCTTTCTATAGAAAGGCTTCTGAATGTAGGCGATTCTTAAGGTTTTAGGATACATTGAAGGTTGAGAAGACCACCCAGAGGGATTATTCGGTGTATACTGAAGGCTTTCTAGATCAAAATTAATTACTCCAGGCCTTTTTCTGAGTGTGAAAGACCTAAAGAATCACAGAATCTCTTCAGTTTTCTCACACTCATAAAAAGACCCCGAATATCTAATTTCACCTCGAAAGCCTCCACTATACACATAATGATCCCTATTGATGATCTTCTAAACCTTCAAGGTCTCCCAGAGGGGTCATTCGGTGTATAGTGAAGGTTGTCTAGGTCAAAATTAGTTATTCGAGGAGTTTTTATGAGTGTTAAGAACTTAAAGAGTCTCCGAGTTTCTTCAGTTCTTTCACACTCATAAAAAGGCCTCGAGTACCTAATTTTGACATCGAAAGCCTTCAGTATGCACAGAATGATTCTTCCCGGTGGACTTTTAAACCTTGACGGTTTCCTAAAATCTTTTATGGAATGGCCGACATTCAAAGGCTTTCTATAGACTCCAGGATACCTTGTGAATGTCTTCTATACTTTGAGGACTTTCTTCCATAGGAAGACTTGGAGAATCTGACTCCTTTAGAGAATATTCTGAGCCTTGAAATTCTCCTTAGAAGACGTTATATTCCATGAAACTCTTCTAGGTACCTTCAAAACTCTGGAGGTATTCAAAGAGGAGTTCTATATTCAAAAACACCCTCTTTATACATCTCCCATACTCAGAAGTCTATACTTTGATACTCTTCAAGTCTTCTAAGCATACATTAAGAACTTGAGAGTTTCAAAACTTCAAAAAATTGTTCTGGAAGGATGTCTCCGAAGACCGCCCAGAGTTCTACTGTGCTCGGGAGATCTTTAGACAGTAATCAATTCTCAAAATTTCTACTAAGAGGACCTTCTAAGGCCATAACTTTTTGCAGTTAAGTTCTACCACCCTCAGAAGATCTGTTAAAGGCTTCTATATTCGGAGCTCTCCAAAATCTTCTTGACTGGAAAATCTTCCGGACGGCTTTTGCAATTAAAAATCCGGGCCTCCGGTACTCCAAATTCTTTCTAGATATAGAAGGCCAGCAGACGATTTTTCCTCCCTGAGGCTTTCTCTATATCAAAGGCCTTCTATTCGTCTACTATGACCAGATAACCTTCCTGGTGTTATCTAGGCCTTCCTTATCTTCCAGAAGCCTTCTATCTAAAGATCTCTTTATGTGTATAGTCCCTAAAAAGCGATAATAGAAGACATATTAAAAGTACGTACGAATCCTTGCGGGGGTCTTTCACCTTCAGATTACCGTCAATATATTTTATAAACTCGTAATACCCTCCAGTATACCCAATGCTAAGAAAATCTCCCTAAGGTATTGTTATGGAGTTCTGCAGTATTTTTTGAAGATCTTTCAGAGGCTTTCTGTTATCTTCTATATCCAGAAATCCTTGCTGAGGATATCTGTGTTAAGAAGAAGAACACATTTCTTAGTTCTTACTGAAATCTTGTGAGTATGGATAAGTCTTCTGTCCACAGAAGACCTCAGGCAGAATTTATAATAACAGAAGGCCACATGAAGAGAGTAAAAGGTCGCCATATGGCTTTATGAAGCTGGATTGCCTTCTTCGAGTAGAAGTTCAGCAGAAGATTTTTTCCTCACTGAGGTTTTCTCTACATCAAATGCCTTCTATTCGTCTGCTATGACCAGAAAACCTCCCGAGGTTATCTAGGCCCGGAAAACCTTCTAGAAGCCTTCTATCTACAGATCTCTTCCTGTGTATAGTCCCTAAAAAGAGATCATAGAAGACCTATTTAAAGTACGTCCTTCCTTTTCTTCCAGACTCTACTTCATAGGTTTTCTATGGGTCTATTATGCTTAGAAAACCTTCCCGAGGTTATCTAGGCTCAGAAAACCTTATAGCAGTCTTCTATCTTCAGATCTTCCTGTATATATCCCTGAAAATGACCCCAAAATACCTTTTTACAGCACGTCCTTCTATTTATATAAAATTTTCTAAATTTGCTTTATACTAAAACTCCAAATTAATATACTCTCTCTCTATTCTAGGTTCTCTGCACATAACCGATGTAACAAATGCCTCCCGAACACTCCTTATGAACATTGAAAGCCTTGAATGGGACCCCCTAATGTTGAAGACATTTTCTATACATCAGGAAATGCTACCAGAAATTCGTAGCTGTTCCGAAATCTATGGCAAAGTATGTGATGAACGTTCGGTATTGAATGGTATGCCCATAAGTGGGATACTCGGTAATCAACAAGCCTCGCTGCTAGGACAAATGTGCATTAAACCGGGACAAACAAAGAACACCTATCGTTCAGGATGTTTCTTGCTATGTAATACCGGTTCAACTCCGGTAATCTCCTCACGAGGTTTACTAACCACCGTTGCCTACAAACTTGGACCCAATTCCACACCCATCTATGCTCTAGAAGGTGCTGTGGCCGTCGCGGGTCATGCCTTGGAATGGTTACAAAATAAGGTGCGCATTATGCCAAATGCTACCGATGCTGAGAAATATGCCGAATCGGTACAGACCACCGGTGATGTGTATTTTGTGCCAGCCTTTACGGGACTCTATGCACCATATTGGCGCAAGGATGCTCGTGGTATGATAATTGGCCTAACACAATTCTCCACCAAACATCATGTGGTGAGGGCAGCTCTGGAAGCTATTTGTTTTCAGTCGCGTGACATTTTGGAGTGCATGTACAAAGAAGGTGGTTTCAAATTCAATAAACTGCATGCCGATGGCGCTTTGTCATCGAATAATTTGCTAATGCAACTGCAGGCCGATACAGCTGGTGTGCCGGTATTCCGTTCCCAACTACTCGACTCAACAGCCTTTGGGGCGGCGATGTGTGCTGCCCAAGCCGAAGGTGTTGAACTGTGTAAATTTGATCCCGAGAAGAGGCATTATGATAATATTTATTATGATACCTTTTTACCCACCAGTACCGAAGAGGAGCGCAAACATCGTTATGGTAAATGGAAAAAGGCGGTGGAACGTAGTTTCGATTGGGTTGATCGTGGCCAATCGAAAACTATGACCGAAGAACGTTATCGTATGCTGTCATCAGTACCTGGTAGTTTATTCATCATTACGACATTTGCAATGTTGGCTCATTCTCTAAGAAATGTTAGGGCGTAGGTCTCTCAGAGAGATTATGTAAGATATTATATGACTTCCAGTGAAAGACAATCGTATTTATGAAGAGAAACACATAGAAAAATATAACTAGAAGTGCTCTGGAAATATTTGGTTGTGTTTGGGTTACATTGTTGTTGGTAATAAAAACTAGAGATACTTGGAGCTACGGAAGTTAGAAGTAGACCTGATGTAGCTATATTAATAGGATGTTGAGAGTCCTCAGAAAGAATTAGTTGAATATTTTAGTTAAAAAGTGGACCTAACTATGTACTTTGTTATATAACTATGTTTGAGGTTCTATAGAAGGAACGGTGCCTGTATACATATAGATTTTTTTATAAAAAGAACATATGTGTTCTATTTGTTTTTGTCCTCAGAAAATCATTTATTGACATTGTGCTACGAATATGTTCAGACTTCCTTCCAGATATCTAAATATAACAGAAGTCTTTTTTATAAAGAGGTCCTTACCTTATCTTCTCAAATTGCAGGTCTTTCGTCCTTAGAATGTTTTGAAAAGAAAATAATCTATCCTGGGAAGGCCTTTTATAGACATTGTGTTCCGAATATGTTCAGACCACCTTTCAAATATCTTTGATAAAATATAACAGATGTTTTTTATAAAGAGGTCCTTTGACAGTTTTTACGTATGTAGAATTTATTCTATATTCTGAAGATCTCTTGTATGTTGAGAGACGTTTTCTATTATTAAAAGATCTTCCAAAGGTCCTCTCTTCTCAAATTACACAACTTTTGTTCTCAGAATAACTTCGAAAGTTCATTATTCTGCATATAACTTATGCTCAGTAGATCCTAGAACGCATCTATAAAACCTTACAGAACATTTTGAGGGATTAATAAAGATTAAAGTCCGCTGAAAGTTCATATTTGAGTATAGGTGGTATCTAGGTCTTTTTGCCATAAAATACCTTCTTACAGAGGTCAGGATAGATTTTAACTTTCTATGCCCAGTAGATCCTAAAAAGCTTCTATGAAGCGATTATGCTTTATATATGATTATATGATCAGATCTTTGAGAAAATCTTTGTATTCATATTCTATGCTATCTATAATCCGAACCTTACAGCAAATGTTGAGAGATTTATAAAAAATTAAGGCCTCTGAAAGTTCATATTGGAGGTTTAGTTTTTTTTTTTTTGCCATAAAATACCTTTTTACAGAGGTCAGGATCAGGCCTTGGTTTATCGAGGTCTTAGAGTATAAAAGACCTCCTTTCCAGTCCAAGTGTCTGTAACTTATTCAATTCAGGTCCATGTTTTGATATCGATCCAACTACTAGGGGTCGATATCAAAACTTCCTCCAACTTTTAAGTACTTCAAAGACTTTCCAACCTATGTGGTTGTATTTTGACATTTTGGGTTTATCAGAGGTTAAAAATATCCACTTTCATTTTGGGTTTATCAGAGGATAAAAAATATTTTCCGACAACACCTATTTGAGATATATTAAAGGTCTCTGTTGCATTTTGTAAACAAAAAGTCTGTAATTTGGCATTTCGAGTTCTTAGAGAAAAGCTTTTTTAATATCCCTGCCCCAAATTTGCATTATAGTTCCATGTTTTTGACATAATCCAAAATTTACAGTAAGCCTAGACGTATTATCGACCATAATGTTTTCTAATTTGCCATTTCGGATTCCCAAAGGTCAAAGGACCACCTGACAGGAAATTTTCTATACACTCCCCATATAACTGTTTCGCCCATTCTTCGTTAGTTTGAAGGACCAAGGCACGGAAAGAAAATTGCCAACACCACACTTCCCTTTTCCAGAGCACAAATTCCAAAACGATTTTATAGAATAAAAAAACAATAATCAGCAGCTAAAAATAATTCTGAAATAAGTAGAACTACCAAATTTATACATCAACGCAGAGTTCACATGAGTGAGTCCACTGGGATTAAAAATTATTTATTAGGGAAAAACACATTTCTAGATCCTCAGAAGATTGTTTATCAAGTAATGATCTTTTCACAAGTTGTGAATGTCAAAATCCAATTGGAAATTTTGAATATCAAAAGGACTTCGTGAGGATATTATTTTAATTGTCTTTTTTTCTTGATATTCATATGGAATCCTTTGAGGGTTTTAATTGAGCTGTTTTGTTTAAGATTTTATTTGAAGTTTTTTAATCTTAAAAATCATGTGCACAATTGTGTTGTAATATTTTCTTAAAAAAGGAAAACAAATCTTAACGAAAATTAATTATTGTACTTATAAAGTATTTCCTTTAATTTTATGCTTTAAAACAAAATTGAAAAAATATTATAAGTATATATTTAAAAATTGTTAATAATATTTTGCATACTTTTATAAAAGTTGAACATTTATGTATCTAAAAAATGTACAAAAAGTTTATGTCTTATTATCTACTGAGTTTATATTTCAATATTCCCACCCATATTTAACAACAATTTCTATTTGTTGAAATTTTCCCCATTTCTATTATTTTATTGATTTCTATTTTAATTTTATCTTGTTGCATATTTTGTTTATTACCATTAACTACCATTATAAAATAATTTATATACAGAGCCATATATGTGATAAAAATTTCTAACCTCCCCCCTTCCCTTTCTTTTTATTATTATTACATAATATTTGTATACTACTTACTTTGTGTTAAGAACCGAAAAAAAAGAAACAAATTGTACATGAAATTAAATTTATAGTCTTTAAAGAATTATGCCAACGACTTAAAAAAAAAACAACAACAACTGTTACTTAATATTCAATTATAATGTTTAATATAAAAAATCATTATTATTTGATTTTGTAAATATTAGTTATTTATATATATAAAATATGTTTTTAGTTTAAGAAAAAAATCCAATTATTGGTATGTTAATTGAAATAATAAAAAAGCTTTAAATTTCAAAAAAAAATCTGTAAACCTCTTCTCCTCAAACTTAACCGTTGTAGTCTTTTTCTATAGTGGGTCATTCTTTAAAGTAAACCTTCATTTTCTTTTCAACTAAAAATAAATATTCAACATTATTCGATAACCATTCATCTTATCAATGAAGGCAATTTTTCTTCTTCTTCTTTTTCATAAAACATATGCAATTAATATATATTTTAAATAATCTTTATTTGTATATTACCGCCTTTAAGGTTCTACCAACAACTCAACAATTGTACCGATAATGTTTTTATCAGGTTGGCATAACCCAGAACACACCTTTATGTATTCCATGGTGGCAATGGAGTGATGATAAGTTTTGCGATATTCTATTTAAACTCATAAATGCAATACAATTTTCGCATGTCTTATTTGGAAATAATTGCTGTAAAGCAATGAAACATAATCAAACAACATTATCGAAATACGATAAAATTGGAAATTATTAAAGAATATGATAGGCGACCTTTACACCTTATTTTATCAGTTGAAGACTATACGTCATCAGAAACGACTAATATAAAGTTTTGTTTCTTTGAAAAAAATTAAAACAATCAGGCCAGTGTTATCTTTTCGTAAAAAAATATTTTTATTTTTATACCCTACACAACTATGTTGTCAGGGTATTATAGCTTTGTGCAGCCCCAGGAGTTTGTAACGGCGCGAAATATTGGTCCTAGACCCACCTTTAAGTATAACGATCGTCATATCTCGACTAGCTGAGTCGATCTAGACATGTGTGTCCGTCCGTCTGTCCATTATAATTTATAAACACGATCTTCACGAAATTTTGCATGTAGGATAGGTTCGGCCCAATGAAGACCACTATTGTTTTTCGTAAAGATCGATTTATATTTAGGGGATGATATCGACCATATACTTTTTTTTTGGTTTTTCTGGTAGCTCCAGAGGGCGCAATTATGGTCCAAAGATCTTTCGGAGAATTTTTCTCTCAAACACTCCAAGAGCTGTCTCATCTGCTTGGGCAAGTACCCATGCTTCAGATCCATATAACAGCACGGGTAGTATCAGAGTCTTGTAAAGTGTGAGTTTGGTCTGGCGAGGGGTGACCTTGTTTCTAAACTGCATACTTAGACAATAGTAGCATCTGTTGGCCATTACTATCCCTCTCCGAATTTCAAAACTGATGCCATTCGGTACCAAGGTATATAAAATCTTTGACTACCTCGAAGCTGTAGTTATCAAGTTCCACAGTTGGTCCAAGTCGTCTTGCGCTTCGATACCATCAGCTTTGTCTTCTCGCCGTTTACTGCCAGACCAACTTTGGCAGACTCCTTCTCAATTTGTTCAAAGGTGGCTGTTACCGCTCGAAATGTTCGACCTATTATATCGATGTCATCGGCGTAGGCGAGTAACCTGTATTGTTTGGTGTACAGTGTGCCATTTCTGTTCACCTTTACGTCTCGTATGACTTTTTCCAGCAGGATGTTAAAAAGATCGCACGACAAACTGTCGCCATGTCTGACTCCTCGTTCGGTATTGAAAGGCTCCGATAGGTCCTTTCCGACTTTAACTGCTGACCTTGTGCCTCTTAAAGTTATCATGCATAGTCGTATTAATTTGGTATGGTGGTATGTGTCGATGTGTTTTTCATGGTTCGGCTGGTATCTCGTCGGCTTCTGCTGCTCTATTATTCTTCAGCCGATTAATTGCTTAATTGCTGGGGGTTTGTTTTTCTTTTTCTTAGCTTTTTCATAGTAGGTTCGGTTTTCCGAGTGTGGGCAACTAACCCGACGCCTCAGCCCAATTTTTAAAGTTCTTATGGGTGAACTCGCGGCACATATTAGCTCACTATTTCATCGGGCGATGAAAATTGCTACCCCAGGTGGGACCACGGGGAGGTCAATGTCCCCAGTTGAGATGAAAGAGGGACCAAATAAGCCTGGACTTCGCCATGTTAAAGCCAATCAGAGCCGTTTCTTGGTATCTATCATCTCATACGCCACCACACCTTTGGTATTCCTTGAAAAACATTTTTTAAAAATCAACACCTCTAACTGGCCTATTTAAAAAATCCACTCCTATATTTCTCTGGACTATTTTTATAATCCAAAAAATACTTTTCTAAAACTAGTTTCGTTGTCCTTTCAAATGCTTTTTATTTCACATCAATACAACCATTATTATCAAAGTTACAGCCCTTGAAAGAATACACTCAACAGCATGCCGCTGCAATTCAATAATGTGCATGCACAATCAATGGAGCAAGCAGAGATTCGCCACCCCCCACCTCCCACATAAACAACTCTATTACACAGCGAAAACATACAATAACAACAACAGTATTTGCCCAATTGCCCCATTATCACAGTAAGAGAATAGAGAACAAAACACTGTGAAGAGTACATGTCACTTTCTCTCATACTCAGTTACATTATCCCATATTAAGAACAGTTAACATCTCAATAAACACTAAAAACACAAACATTGTAAGGCGCCTTTTTGTTTGGAATGTTACCAAGAACGTTCTTGTCCTTAACTTTTCGTGCCCACCTTGTCTTTTCTAACAAAACTAGGAGCATGCACACATTGGGAAATGAAAAAAAAATAATTATTGTTATTATACATTAAGCATTCACACACAGCGTAGTTGGTGCGTGTAGATGTCATGAGATGCAAAATTAATGTTCCAATTAGAACTCCCAAAATTAAGGTATTGCAATTTACTACAGCAAAACAGTAATGACAATTTAGTGATTGTAGATTTGCCTTTTTAAAATTTTCAAAAAAAAAAACAGCTATGGATTTTCAAAATTTGTTTTCAAGGTTTATTATGAGCGTGGATTTTAATATTATTTATTTTTTAATGTTTTTCAATTATTTATTGTAGTTATGTATTCCAATATGCATTGTCAGGAAATCGCCAAATTGGCATCACTGTAATCTGCAACAGTTTGGTAGTTCTAATTAGAATTCTAATATGGCAACAGGTTACATTCGTCTAACTCCCACCGTTATGTGGCGTCGTGATTCTCCTTATGCGTTGTTTTTGTTCTTTTGATGGGGAGATCTCTCTCCATTTTACGCTCCATTCAATGTTTTCGGCCATTACTCAATTTAGTTCTTCTTGAAATGACGAGCCGGGCGGTTGCGTGTAGTATCCTTTCAATTCGATCGTAGTGTAATCTTGTTATTCTGGAAATTCTAGAATTTTTAAATCCGTGTTTTATATTCGCGAGTGCATTTTTATATTTTTTAATAAATTAATTAATTATTTTGTCAATAAATGTCGTGAAGTGTGATTTAGCTTTCTTATTTGAGTAACGAGAAATGTCATGGCATGTGGTTTATATTTCTCAGTAGAAAATTCATTGGTCAATTGTTCGTTTAGCTCCGCGAGTGGTTATGTTTTTAAATTGTTTAAAATTAACGTCAGTGTGTGTGTTTTGTTGGGCCATCATTTTAATTTAAAGATGCATACAAAAATTAATTCTTTAATTTACCGTTCGTTTATGTTTTTTGTTGTTAAAAAAGACGAGCCCTTTGTACAAAATTGGACATGATTAAAAGGTAAGAACAAGAATATTATTTGTGACTCCCAATAAAAAAAGGCACCAAACAACATTTGTTGTTGTTGTTAATGTCTATTGATGTTAACGGTTCTTATTATGGGAGAATGTAACTTAAGTTTTAGTATGAGAGAGAGTACACATATACTCTTCTCAATGTTTGGTGCTCACAGTAATATTGTTATGATGCACAGAGTGGGTGGTAATGGGAGGATAGATGTTCATAGCAAATACTGTTGTTGTATGCTCTTGCATTATGGTGGTGTTGTTAAAATGGGTGATTGAGCATGCATATTTTTGCATAATTGCATTGATATGCTGCTGGTGGATTTTTTAAATGGTTGTATCTCTGGTAATAATAGACACATTGATATGAAATAAAAAGCATTCGAAAGGATAATGCATCTAGTTTCTGATACATTGTCTTTTCCACATGAAAAAAATATTTTTAAAAATCCACGACTTTGTTCGGACCTTAAAAAAATATTTCTAAAAAAACCAACCCCTATGCTGGGACCTTATTTTTTTAAATCAATTAAAACAATTCTCGAAATATTTTATAAAAAATATGTCTTTTTTAATCTTTTGTAAACATAGCGGAAATAATAGTAATACATAATAATATCAAATAAAAATAAATATACAAGAAAAATATTTAATAAAAAAGAAAATAAAATTTGAAATTGTTATGATATGCATTGTCTTAGTCCATATTAAGCTGAATACACTTAGAGAAATAAATCTAAAAAATAATATAATAGTGTTTTAAGTACAAAAGTTTGATATGATCATTTAATTTCATTTAGGTCTTTTTGATTTTTATTTTTTTTTAATTTTTATATAATAAAATATTTCTAAACTTAAATTCTTTTTTTATTTTTAAAGCTTAAATTTATAAAAGCATTAAATATTTAACATAACTTTTAAAAAGTATTGAGAGAATATTCATATAAATTATATATTTATGTATGTGTGTATTTAATTTCAGTACTAAAATATAAGAACGAAAATCTGCGGGTGTGTGGGTCAGGGAATTTCACAAAAAAAAATCTCAAAACGATGGCTTACTGCTACTCATGCCACGAGCCGGTAAACTATTTGTTTTCGTATGCGGATTATCACGAGCCTGCGAATGGGCCACCACAATGCTAAGGCACTGCACCCATTCCTCGGCATTTTTGCCATCCTTCGGCTTGAGTATTAGTGTTTGATCGGCTGTGAAAATTTCAAAGGCCTTGGGTATGTTGCGGGCACCACGTGACACCTTGACCGAACGTATCTGATTGACATCGATGCTTTCGCCGCCACTCTGCAAGAAAATTACAATTAGATTTTTTTTTGAAATAAATGTATTTCTCTAAAATAGTCTTACCGATCCTTTACACGACAAATGTGCTCCCGATAAAGTGAAATATCTGGTACGCCATCTGCGGAATAGCCGCCATTTGCCCTTCTTCTCTTTCAGTTGACCCTCGATCATGGGCTGATTACTGCCATTGAGGAAACCCATGGCCTTGTCGGGATGATTACACAGGAAACAACCCCATTGATATTCCAGTTCATTGCAATTTGGATTGGATTTGTCAGTCTTGGAGACTTCAAAGACATCCAGGAAGCCAGAATGTCTTAATTCATTGACCAGAATTTCACGGTCCTGGAAATAAAACAATTAAGATTTTTTGAAAATATTTTTTCTAGGAACCTTCAGAGAGGCGTGGATTTAAAAAAAAATATGTTTTTCCTAGGTCCTTCAGAGAGGCGTGGATTTTTTATAAAAAAATATATTTTTTCTAGATCCTTCAGAGAGGCGTGGATTTTTTAAAAAAATATTTTTTCTAGGTCCTTCAGAGAGGCGTGGATTTAAAAAAAAAATATTTTTTCTAGGTCCTTCAGAGAGGCGTGGATTTTTTAAAAAAATATTTTTTCTAGGTCCTTCAGAGAGGCGTGGATTTTAAAAAAAAAAATATTTTTTCTAGGTCCTTCAGAGAGGCGTGGATTTAAAAAAAAACCTAGGTCATTCAGAGAGGTGTGGATTTAAAAAAAAAAAAAATTCTAGGTCCTTCAGAGAGGTGTGGATTTAAAAAAAAATATTTTTTCTAGGTGGCAAAACACACACAAAAAAAACAAAAAATAAAAAAAAAAAAATTTTTTCTAGGTCCTTCAGAGAGGCGTGGATTTAAAAAAAATATTTTTTCTAGGTTTTTAAGAGAGGCGTGGATTAAAAAAAATATTTTTTCTAGGTCTTTAAGAGAGGCGTGTATTTAAAAAAAAATATTTTTTCTAGGTCCTTAGGAGAGGCGTGGATTTTTTAAAAAAAATATTATTTCTAGGTCCTTCAGAGAGGCGTGGTCCTTAACAAAGGTGTGGATTTTTTAAAAATATTTTTTCTAGGTTCTTCAGAGAGGCGTGGTCCTTAACAAAGGTGTGGATATTTTAAAAATATTTTTTCTAGGTCCTTCAGAGAGGCGTGGTCCTTAACAAAGGTGTGTTTTTTTAAATATTTTTTCTAGGAACCTTCACAGAGGCGTGGATTTTCTAAAACGATTTAATACTTACTTTTATACTTGGAAACTGACTGGTCACCAATTCCGTAAAACTGCGATTTTCACACTTGAGTATTTGCCAAATATTTTTCAAATTACTAATACCTGGTTCACGGGTGCTCAACACACTTTTCTCCTTAACCTTGAAAGAAAAAAATAAATGCCAAAATAAATGCCATCTCGTACAAGTTTCTCTCCTATACTTACATAGTGTCTCACTTGAAAATCGAGAAACATTAAATGTATCCAGGTTTTCGGATTGCGGGTTCTCATCGTAAAACAGGTCTTCGAATAGAGACAATGAGGTCCACGTATCTGACAGGCAAAATGCAGTTTTGCCACTTTTTTCGAACGCCTCTCTGCAAATTCATTGGAAACTTTTTTGGTGTAATTTGTGTGTGTGTGTGTGGGTGGAGTGAAATCGGGACAGATGGATAGTTGAAGTACAGATATATAGAATATGCATGCAACAACAACAACACAATCAAATATAGTTACGGCAATTACATTAAACACAATGGCATTTACATCATTCATTACAACAAATGCGGGATTAGTTGGAAATTAAGAATTTAAAAAAAAATAGGCATTCCAATTAGAGGTGTGTGTGTGGTGTGGTGAAAGTGAGAAAAAGAAAACAAGAAGAAGAAAAAAACAGAAAACAAACAAATATGGATCAAATTATGGAAACATATACTAATGTAACAACAATACAACAAACATGCGAAATAAAATAGCAAGTGTTCCAAATAAAGGTCTTATATCGAAGGCGTGGATTTAAAAAAAATATATTTGTATAAGGTCCGATTTTTTAAAACTATTTTTTAAGGTCCCAAAATAGTCGTGGATTTTTTAATGGTCGAGATCCGCCTATAGGCGTGCTTTTTATTAAGGTCCCAAAATAGGCGTGGATTTTTTAAATATTTGTAAGTTCCCAAAATAGGCATGGGTTTTTTAAAATACTTTTAAGGTCCCAAAATAGGCGTGGGTTTTTTAAATATTTTTAAGGTCCCAAAATAGGCGTGGATTTTTAAAATATTTTTCAAGGTCCCGAAATAGGCGTAGATTTTTATTTTTAAGGTACCAAAATAGGCGTGGGTTTTTTAAAATATTTTTCAAGGTCCCGAAATAGGCGTAGATTTTTAAATATTTTTAAGGTACCAAAATAGGCGTGGGTTTTTTAAAATATTTTCTCAACATCCATACACATGTGTAAATTTTTTATAAAACATTTTTGTCTTTTAATTTTTTAAAGACCCGATTTATTTGGAACACTTCTCTCACTCTCCCATGCTTTGACCTCAAACCTACCTTCAATACTGCAACGTGTGGGTGGTGGCAACATTTGCGACACCTCATCCATATAGGAGCTAATCGAAGAGAAGTGTTTCTCACAAAATTGTTGGACAGGATCACGCATGATTTGATAGGGTTCAAAAGTACTCATGCGTTGATCTAAAATGCTGTTGTTTGCATTTAACAGAGTGCGGCTGGTGTTGTCATTGCGGCGTGGTGTAACATTGGTCGTGGGACCGGAGACAATGACCTCGTGATCACTCTGCAGAAAAAAAAACAAAAATTAATAAATCTTTAAATGAATGGTCATCAGATGATCCCCTTACACTTCCATTCACTGGTAATTTCATCACAGATTTTTGATTGCCATTATTTTGATGTGGCAAGGCTGGCGATGCATGATGCACTGAGACCGGATTTACGGGGGCTGTTATCGAACCAATCGATTGATTTAAGGCATCGGTACTATATTTCATAAGGGCAGCACTGGTGTTGAGCAGGGTGGTGGGTCCTTGGGACTGCGGCCGCATTTTGGTAGGAGATGTTGTCACTGTGACTCCACCGGATGTCACCTGCGTAGAGGGTATACCCCATTTATTGTGTCCCGTAATAATAACATTATTACTTAGCGGAGGTACGGGCGTAACATAGCCAGGGCTGTTGGGAGATGTAGGTGTCTTGGGTATAACTCCAGTTTGTACCACCACATTGCTGCTTGAGGTTGAGTTATTCGCCGTATTCGATCCAGAACCGGAGGCTGAGCCGCCATTTTGATTTATGTGTTGCGATGAACTTAGCCTCGTCATACTTTTGTGGAGGCCACCCACTGAACCACCGGCCACATTGAGGCGGGTCATGCTACGATGTGTATTACCCGAGGGATGTAGGCGTCCGGTACTTCGTGAGTCGCCAAGTTTTACTCGCCGTGTATAGCCAGCATGTGGTGGGGTGGGTGGTACTGTGGGTGTGGTTGCGTTGGTGGTGTTATTTGGAGGTTGAGATAAAACTGGTGCAGGATTGTTGGATGCTGTAAATGGGGAAAAAGAGAGAATAGATTATTTAAATTGTTCTCTGAGTGAGAATCGAAGTATTTTCTTACGTATTTTAATATTTCCCGTGGTAATAGTTCGCCTATACGGATCCTTGGGACTGTTCGGACTACTGCGACTCTGTTTGCTTTTGTGCATGCGTCCAGTGGTGGCATGCGTGGTATGACCCGAAGGCACTGTGACTGTGGTGGTGCTGGTCACAGGGTCTGCACTGATAATTGTGGAATGTTGGGCAACCGAATTCGCCGCCATTGAGGTATTCACCGTAATACCCGATGTCTTGCCTGCAATTGGCTGCTGAATACCCGGCAATTCATGCGGACTATTCAAATTGACAATGGTAACACCTCCCGAGGTTTTATTACCCACATCCACACTGGTTTCCGAGGAAGACAGCTTTTGTTGGCTGTAATAAAAAAGAAGAACTCAGTCTTTTAATCGGAAATAGAAAATTGAAATCTTGAGACTAACCTCAAGGCATTCTTTTGCCTCACACAGGCCAACACCTTGTCGGTGAATAAAATCGGAAACGATGAACATAACTTGGTGGCCTCCTGCAGTAACACCGCCTGAGAACTACGATCCGCATGCGGCAATTGTTCCAATACAAAATCCAAAGCATATTGAGCATTCTCCTTATTCGTCCGTCCCGCTGTGGCCAAAACCTGGGCCCCCAAAGCCATTGTATTCGGATTTGTTTTCGTGGCCAAACGGATTTTATCAAAATGTTCCGCCACCAGTAACGGCCTCTGTTCGGCCAATTTCAAAAGAATCTGCATTGTTGTGCTGGCCGTTTCACTGTCATAGAGAAATTCACATAACGGTGAAATGCAGGATTCCAATACCAAAGGTGTCCTTTGGGCAATCAGGAGATACAATTGAAAAACGGCCAGTCTTTCTTGAGAATCACATTCGGGTAAGAGGGCCACCAGTTGAGGGGCATGAGGGGATACTGTATCTGGAGAAACTTCATAGATTTGGGAGAGTACCCGCAGGAGGCCATAATTCCCAGCCAATATAGAATTCATAATCGAATCGACATGAGGACTCAGCAAATAGGCATAATCGATGGCGGCCAGCGATAGGTAACTGGCCAAATTGCGGGATAGCTCACGATTACCCTTCGGCAGGAATTGTACGGCAATGGGTAGGGCTAGTTTCATTACTTCACGTTTGTCATAATTCTGGAAAAAGAGAGAAAAATGTGTGAATTTACAAATATTTTTATGGTCCACCTTTAGGCGTGGATTTTTTTTAAATGTGTTTTCCTTATACTTACCAAAAATATACTCGATATAATATCGGCAGCTATTTTGGCATGTGGCGGATCTTCTTTATTACTACCACTCGGTTGGAGATTCCATAGCAGACAGGTTTTCAGCAAATCGATAAGGGCAGGACAATAACGTTCGGCTGTTTTCGTTTCACGTATACAGGAGAGAACGCGCGTAACACAAATCTCCACCACCGACTGGTCGTTGTTGTTTTTCAGATAATCCGCCAAAGAGATGATGGCATTGATATCGGAAAGCTGGAAAATAAAATACAAAATTTTAATATTTGTTTTTAATTTGCATTAGCGGTCACTTACCACATCGATAATATCGTTGACAATATCATTGTCAGGTACAGAAAATAGATCCCCAGCACGGGATAGATCACGTTTAGAGAGTACTTTTGTAAAGAGTTCATGCATTTTGGTAATGGATTTCTTTTTCCAAGATATAAGAGATGAATTTGGTAGTTTTTGTTATTGTTGCAACGAATTAGGTGTTGCAGATTAACGGCATGTTTCCAGGTGTATTTGTCTGATTAGAATTTCTGAAAAGAAAAAGAAAATCGGTTAGGGACAGATTTTTTAAATTAGAATATTTAATAAAATACTAGCATACGACAATATAATTCGTATCAATTTAAAGGTCAACCACTCCTCTTGGAGTCAACTATCAACTTCTCGGGTCTATGGCCTTCAGGAGTAAATATATACGCCATAGAATACAAATTTTGTCATTTTTCACACAAAAGTCAGGGGAGATTTGACCCGCTAAATATTGGCCGATCTTTATCAAAACAGGCATGTTTATTCTTTGGCCCGATCACCTTCTCCATGCAAAAATTCGCGGTGTTTGGGCCATAACTGCGGCCTCTGGAGCGACCAGAAAAACCGACAAAAATAAAGTTTTTGGTTCATTTCATCCCCTAAATATTAATCGATCTTTTCCAATAGGGGTCTTCATTGGCCAGAACCCATCCCACATGCACAATTTCGTGAAGATTGGTCCATAACTGTGGCCTGTACCGTGTTTACAAATTATAAGGGACAGACGGACGGATGGACACACATGTTAAGATCGAGTCAGCTAGTCAAGATATGACGATCGGTATACTTAAAGGTGGGTCTAGGACCAATATTTCGCGGCGTTACAAATTCTTGGGGCTGCACAAAGCTATAATACCCTGACAACATAGTTGTGTAGGGTATAAAAATCCGCACCTATTTTAAGATATTAAGAAAATATTTTTATACTAGTGAGTGGAGCAGTATAGTCGGACGGGGCCGACCATATGATACCCTACACAACTTCTACGAAAATCTAATTTACTGTGGTACTACATTCTGAGCTTGGGCAATATTTCGTAATATTTGTACCCTTTTGACCGACTAGAGGTCAACAAATATATACGCTATAGAATACAAATTTTATAATTTGTCACACAAAAGTCAGGGTCCATATGACCCGCTAAATATTGAGCGATCTTTATCCAAACATGCATGTTTATTCTTTGGCCCGATCCCCTTCTTCATGCAATTGTTTGCGATGTTCGGTCTTAATTGCGGCCTTTAGAGCGACCAGAAAACCCGACAATCCCCTAAACATCAACCGATCTTTACCAAAAACAATAGTGGTCTTTATTGGCCAGAACCCATCCTACATGCAAAATTTCTTGAAGATTGGTCCATAACTTTGGCCTGTATCGTGTTTACAAATTATAATGGAGAGAGGGACGTACGGACACACATGTCTAGATCGACTCAGCTAGTCGAGATATGACGATCGGTAAACTTAGAGGTGGGTCTAGGACCAATATTTCGCGGCGTTACAAATTCTTGGGGCTGCACAAAGCTATAATACCCTGACAACATAGTCGTGTAGGGAATTTCGAAAATTAAAGAAAAAAAAAATCACTTGTGCAAAAAAATGTTGTCGCCGAGTGTCTCAAAGCAAATTGGTAATGAAAAATTATATCAACGTCGTGTTTTGAGGTGGTGGGGGAAAGACATAGGCTACATGTAAAACAAAACGTGTATCCCAAATGATAAGATAAGAGAAATAAAAATAAAACAACAACAACACCAAAAAAACACGCACACATAAAAAATCAAGTAAAGCAACAAAAAAAAAAAAAACTGAACATTAAATGTTTGTCGATCGCAGCAACTCTTTGGGAAAAAGAATGACGTGAACAGAAAATAGCAACAACAACAATAAATATCACCAAGAAAATTGGCAGCAACAAATTCAAACATCAATTGTTGCCATTGGCAATAGACCAAAAAGTCAAGTTGCTACTAGTTAACAACATTGTTGTCGTCGTTGCGTCTGTCTGTCCGCCTGTTTGTCTCGCGAGCTGTCTGTCTATTTCAAGATGTCTAAATGGCTGGCTGGCTGGCTGTCTGTCATTTTTTTCCTGTTCGTTTCGATTTGTTTATTTGCAAATAAATCGCATCGAATTGACTGTCAGTCAATTTGGCCAGCCCAGTCAGTCAGCCAGCCAGCAAATAAAAAACCAAAATTGACACTGAACCGACATCTTAATGATCGTTAAACGCCACCAGAACAATCTTCTCGCTATGGCGTGTATCAAGGCAACAACAATGGCATTGGCAGAGGCTGTGTGTATTGGACACAAAATAATGCAAATAGAAGCGTGAGAATTGCTTCTAGCTGATCTTCTATTTCTATTTTTGGTATCAATGTGGCATACCACAACATAAATAAGATTTTTTTTGGACAATTTTTTAGATGGATGATTGTTATATCCTACACAACTATGTTGTCAGGTCCGTCCGTCTGTCCATTATAATTTGCAAACACGATACAAGCCACAGTTATGGACCAATCTTCACGAAATTTTGCATATAGGATGGGTTCTGGCCAATGAAGACCCCTATTTATAAAGATCGGTCAATATTTAGAGGATGAAATGGACCAAATTCATAATTTTTGTCGGTTTTTCTGGTCGCTTCAGAGACCGCAACTATGGCCCAAATATAAACGGAGAAGGGGATCGGGCCAAAGAATAAGCGGGTCAAATGACCCCTGACTTTTGTGTGAAAAATGACAAAATTTGTATTCTATGGCGTATATATTTACTGATGAAGGCCATAGACCCGAGAAGTTTATAGGTGACTCCAAGAGGAGTGGTTGACCTTTAAATTCATACCAATTATATTGTCGTATGTACTGGGATGTGGGAGTTACACATAAATATTTACAGGTGCTTACGAATTCATATATTGTTTAGTAACCCATTACCACACTAAAGGGCGGAAATATAGCGCTGACCACTTTGAAATTTTCCACGAGGATCCAGTTATGATCAAGGACAACACCCATAATTTTTGGTGATGATCAGATTATAATTAGGGGATGAAGTGGACGGAATACCTAATTTTTTGTGTGCTTTTTTTCCGAGTCGATGCCAATAATAGGTTAAACATCAGAACACATCCCCCGGTGAAGGGAATCTGGACAATTAATTAGAAGGGCTGAACTGAATATGAATTGTAATATTCGGAAAATATGTCAGTGTAAGGAAGAGGTGCTGTTGAGCTCTAATCGGGCTAGATTCAGCAAATATCACAAAATATTGCCCAGGCTCAGAATAAACATACGCAGGGTCGGCCCCATCCGACTATTTTGCTCCGCTCACTCGTTTTAAAATATTTTTTGAACATCGCAGCACAGGCGTGAATTTGTATACCCTTCACTACACTGTGGTACTGGGTATTATGTCTTTGTGCATATGTATGCAACAGGCAAAAGGAATCGAGATAGACCCATGGTTCCTTTTGAGAATATGCATAGAATCATTTTCTGAGTCGACTAAGTCTGTCCGTCCATGTATTTTTGTGAACAAAGTACAGGTCGCATTTATGATCCGAATTGTATGAAACTTGGCACTGTTGACTTATTTGGCCCAAGAACGAACCCTATTGAAATTGGAGAAAATCGTTTCAGATTAAGATAGAGCTCCCATATATAGTTTTGTCCGATTTTAGGTAAATGATGCACCAAACTCCCAATATTTGTCCGATTGGGACAAAATTTTGCACAGCGCACTGAATCAGGTCCATACTTATTTATGAGAAGTTTCATTAAAGTCGGTTCAGATTTAGAGATAGCTCTCATATCTAATTTCGTCCGATTTTTTGTGAATGAAGGACCAAACTCCGATATTTGTCCGTTTGAGACAAAATTTTGCACAGAGCACTGAATTAGGTCCAGACAGATGTCTGCGAAGTTTTGTTAAAATCGGTTCAGATTTGGATATAACTCCTATATATAGTTTCGTCCGATTTTTTGTGAATGAAAATCGGACAAAATTTTGAGTAGAATTATTATATATAGCAGATTTATATATAGCTCACATATATAGTTTCGTCCGATTTTAGGTAAATGATGCACCAAACTCCCAATATTTGTTCGATTTTTAGCACTGAATGAAATTTTTACAGATATACTCCCATATATATTTGTCCGATTTTTTGTTGGGATAAAATTTTGACAAAATTTTGCACAGAGCACTGAATTACGTCCAGACAGATGTCTGCGAAATTTTTGTTAAAATCGGTTCAGATTTAGATATAACTCCCATATATAGTTTCGTCCGATTTTTTGTGAATGAAGGGCCAAACTTCCAATATTTGTCCGATTGAAACAAAATTTTGCACAGAGTACTGAATTAGGTCCAGATTAATGTCTGGGAAATTTTTGTTAAAATCGGTTGAAGTTTAGATATAGCTCTCATATATAGTTTCGTCCGATTTTTAGTGAATGATACACTAAACTCCCAATATTTGTCCGATTGGGATAAAATTTTGTACAGAGTACTGAATTAGGTCCAGACTGGTGTCTGCGAAGTTTTGTTAAAATCGGTTCAGATTTAGCTCCCATATATAGTTCCATCCGATTTTTTGTGAATGAAGGACCAAACTTCCAATATTTGTCCGATTGAAACAAAATTTTGCACAGAGTACTGAATTAGGTACAGACTAGTGTCTGGATTAAATTTGGCATTGGTCACTTATTTGGTCCAAGAGCGAACCCTATTGAGATTGGGAAGAATCGGTCACATTTAGATATAGCCTTATATATTTCTTCGTACGATTTAATGTAAATGGTGCACCAAAGACCCTATATATCTAACGATTTAAACGAAATTTGGCACAGCGTAATGAATTAGGTATAGAATGATGTGTGTTGAATTTCCTGAAAATCGGTTCAGATTTTGATATAGCTCTCATATATATTTTTTCGTCCGATTTAAGGTAAATGGTGTACCAAAGTCCCTTAATATCTTTTGGTTTGCACGAAATTTGGCAAAACGTAATGAGTTAGGTCTAGAATGATGTGTGCTAAGTTTCCTGAAATCGGTTCAGATTTAGATATAACTTCTATATCTGACCAAATGAAAAATATAGTATCGGTTGCAGAATGA